TAACCTCCGTGTGGTTCGACCCCGGTCTTGCCGGGTTATTTATTACTTCGATACTCCTGCACTTGGGAGAAGACATCAATCTTTTTGTCGTGTCAGCAAACGTGGTTGCAGATGCCCTCAGTCGCAAAATAAAGCCACCTTAGGAAGGTTAATAGTGGGAAGGAGCGGCAATTGGCGGAATTGAAAGAGATGGGTGCATATTTGGACATTAATGCTGGAGGTGGGTTAGTAGCTCAATTATTGGTGCGACCAACATATCGGGAATAGATACAACATGCCCAATTCCATGACAAGGAGGGGGTGTAAGATTAGGAAGAATGTGGAGGCCAGAGAAGAAATGAAATTCTAAGTAGCGGATGATGGATCCTTGATGATGGGACAACAGTTATACGTGCCTATTAATGATGATCTTTAAGACTTAATGATGCACTTTGGGCTTATCGAATTGCTTATAAAACATCATTAGGTATGTCACCTTATAGACTAGTCTATGGAAAACCTTGTCACTTGCCTGTGGAACTTGAACATAAAGCTTATTGGGCTATTAAAGCTTTCAATTCAAATCTAGATGATGCTAGTCAACTGCGAAAATTACAAATAAATGAGCTTGAGGAAATAAGAAATGATGCATATGAAAATAATTATTATTTAAAAATTAATTTGAGAAATAAAAACAAGGCAAGTTAGTGTAAGGTCGTGAATCGAGGGAAGGGCTGCAATGTGAGCTGCAGATTGAGTTTCCCTGCATGGAGGGAGAGGGGCTTGTGGTGAAGCAGTAATGCTTTCTAAATTTAGGCGAAAATAAGATGCATGGTCCCAAATGACTTACCCTGAACATTGAACACTAGTTTTCACTGGGCCACCACACAAGGAACGTACAATGTGATTAAGCAATTACCAGGGCAGACTCTCAGGCAGCCACACACCCATCTCCCTGCAGGTCGTCCTCCACCGACCTTTGAATTATCAATGCAATCCAGAAACATCTGCAATGACAAGTGCTGGTAATATTACCAAATTTACTTTTTAAAAAAAAAAATTGGCACATTAACCTAAAATATTAGGCGGAATATCTATAGTTCTAAAGCTCAGCGTGCCCCGCATAGTTACTCGAAGATCTAGCTGATTCGGAACCAAAACCAAGCTAGATTTAAGAAAACACAAAAGAAAGTAAAAATCCAGATAACCCGATTAAAAATCTAAACTAACCCAATTGACCTGAAAAGACTTCTAACTAACTTAACAGGAAGAGTTTAGTCGAAGGCATCAATCCCTTGCCAAAGCTAAAAATACTCACTCCAGCATACCTTACTTTCTGGCCGATTTCCGGTCACATTCTTGTATTTCTACAATATTCCCGAAAAGGTTTGCTTTTCTTCCATCATTGAATCCCTGAAGAGGTCTCTTGCTGCAACTCTCAGTTACTACTATCCATTTTCTGCTCGAATAGTACAAATTAAATCCAAATACCAACGAGCATGAAATTATGTGACGATAATGGTTCCTTGGTTGTAGAAGGTCATGCCAACATTTCTTAGAATAAACTAGACTTCTACAATCTTCAATAAGTCTTTGCAAGGAAAACTCGTCTCTGTCAACACCTAGTTTCCTTTACAAGATCAAGTCACCCGTTACATTTGTAGAGGCATCTCAGTAACATTCGCCTTTGATCATGCACTCTGCGATGAAAGTGCCTTTGATGAGTTCCTGGTTTCACGGTTAGAAATCGCTCAAAAAAAGCCAATATCTTGCATGTCAGACCACGGGAGAAGCCTCGAGCACGTTATCCTCCGACTTACCATCCTACTTTGGATCAAACTTTTGTGAAGTGCACCACAGAAGAAATAATAAACACGCCAACAACCCAGATCTTGCTCAAGCGCCTCTATCATATTGATGTCTCCAGCATCAATAGGTTGCAACAACTTGCTTGTGCCAGCGGTAATAAAAGAACTAAAACTGAGGCTTTATCAGCCTATGTATGGACGATCATGGTAACAGAAATTGATGGAAAGCATCAAAAGTGCATAATGGGATGATTAGTCGATGGACGAAGTAGCGTTCATGGAGATCAGAATTTGATGCCAAATAACATAAGGAATGTGTTTTATGCTGGGGTTGCAGAAGCAACCATTACAGAACAGAAGCAAAGGTCTATATTAGATGTTGCTAGCAATGTTCATGATGCGATATCAAAGGTTATAAGGCACATTTTTGGATTTGATTGACTGGATCGAGAAAGTTTCCAGTTGCTGAATTTGAGTTCGGATTCGGCAGTCTTGTGCTAGGCACGGTTGGTACCTCGATAGAAAAAATTGAAGCTGGATACATGAACCGCAGGCCAAGCGCTTGAAACAATGGCTCATGGACTGTTTCAGCTATCTAGTGGCCAGAACTAGCTGCTGTCTTGGAGTCTTCTTCCACTCTGATGCTGTTCTATCCATGTCTACTTGCTTCTAATCTATACTTGATGCTAAACGTTTGGCACTGTACCAAGCATTATACCATGCTCCCACCCAGAACCAGGGGCCGGCTACCATGATGTGCAGTTTAGATTCAATGTTCCTTGCTACGAACATAAAATACTCTCTTATTGAGAGCAAATGGAGTAAAACAGAAGGACATGGGCTCAGTTATACAATCACTATGAGCAAGGCAGAAGCAATAAAATACCGAATACAGATAAAACAGAGCGAATACCGACCCGAATCCCACCCGTACCTCGTCCTTTTCAACGACCATGTTGCATTCGAAATTCATAGCTAAGAATAAAATCGATCCTCGAGAGTTTCAGAATTAGAACCTTGGAGCTATAAATGCTGTCGGGGCAAGACGTGAAAGAAAACCTCCGGATAAAAGGATAATATTTGTTTCGGTCTCGTGAAGCTTTAACGCCTCTTGTATGCTAACGAATCCATCTGATTCATCACGGAAAAACAGAAAAAAAAAATAAAAAATTCAATGCGGTCTTCTCGTGAATTATTGTCTAAATTTTAGCTAACCCTAATTTTACAACCGGGGAATTTTCCCCCGCCTTCATCTTTAGCATAGTTATCTTTACTCTCATTTTACAATTAGTGATATGACATTTGAGGGGAAAACCAAGAAAAGAAGATACAATTATTAGCAACCACAGACTATTTTGAGCCCCTATCTCAAGGCAGAGTTGCATCCACTTTCCATCCTTGTAGCTGGAGAGAACTTGATGGATGTGCAATAGTCTTCCTCTGTCCTCACCGATGGCGTTGATTAAATTCTTTGAAAACTTATCAGGGTAAAAACCATGGAGTCATGGCGCTTTGTCCAGCCATTCGTATCTCCATATTGTTACACCTTCAAGGTAAGGCACTGCACCTTTCTCTGCTTCCAACAAAGTAATTCCCAAACGCTTCTGTGATTTTAAACTGCAAAACATGAAGAATAGACCTTTCATCTTTAAATGTCCGAACCATCTCTTTCCTCCACCAACAAGAAATTATTCACTTCAATTCAAAAAGTTTGTCTCATCACATCTCCTTCCTGATGATCTATTCCAAAAGCACACCTTGTTTTACTACGAGTCTATTGAAGCTTCTCCTGTCTTCATGTCCACAGTTATGGGCCTGACAATTCAAACAAGTATTTTTAAAAATGAAGCCAGAATGGGAATGTAACATAAAGGCTCTCCAACGCAAAACTAAAGGAAATGCCATATGTGAATGCAGGTTCCAGCACAAGATTGACCTGGTTAGGAAATGAGATATTTCTCCATAGCAAAGACTCATGGTGCACAGAAGTGGCCCCAGCACCAATGAATAGTGTACCTCACTATCAAACAAAGGACGTTGCATTTCTCTAAAAATATGCACCTGCAGTCACCATCTAAGCTTAGTCAATCGTTTATTGATTACATAAGAAGATGGGCGAGGGAAAGGAAAAAGATCAATAAAATGCAGCAGCAAGCCCTAACTGACTAAGCAAACGGTAATGGGATAATTTTTAAGATGATATGGTATTTGATATCTCAACGACACTACTCTTTAACATAAGCTCAATTGGAATTTAGGTATGCATCATCCATAAATGAGGAACCCTTTCTACCATGCCCCCTTTTACTTGTTTTAGTTCTTTAGTATGACACTACCCATGGAAGTGAAAATTGTGAACTCAAAAATACTAGAGATATCATTATTATGAATTTAAAACAAAATACATGTATACAGGGACAGAATATCACCAAAGAGGAGTAAAGGTAATTGCAAGTACTCTCCATACATTCAAGGCAACTAACAAGAGTTCTATATTAAAAAAATCAAGACTGAAATGAGGATGCAGCATGGTGAGTGGCAATGCAAGCTAAATTAAAGAGACAACAGATGCATCCATAAAAAATTGAGCATGGCACCAAGTAAGAAAAAGAAGAGGACAAAGGTTAACATTGGACCATCAATCCTTTCCCAGGAGTGTTAAAGATGAGGTCTTTGCATTGCATGAAGTGGAATCTCATGCTTATTTATGTCCTGTTGTTGGTGTTTCCAATTTTTAACTTCCATGGTTAACCTCTACTATGCTTTTAATAATTATAAGTGACTGTCAATAGCAATATAACTATTTCTTTGGCACTCTTATATGACTGGGAATACAGTTGCTGCTCCCTGCCATTACTTAAAAACAGGTCACAACCACTTGCCCTTCTTCAAGCTACAATAAAAGTTATCAAAATAAAATATTCTAGAACAATTTACAGTGCAACAAAATAAACTTGAGCGAAAAGAAAATTGAACTGAGAAGGGAATGACTATGTAAATTAAGAGGAAACTCTAAAAAAAGAAAAGAAAAGAAAAGAAATCATGTACCATCCTCTACCATGGAAAGCGTCAAAAAGCTTTCAAGATAACTCCTTCAGAAACCATGCATCCATCACAAGAGCAGGCAAAATAGCAAATGCAATTGAAACCGTCAAACCGTATATAGTCAACCTGAATAGAGGAAGATGCAAGATGTGACAGGAATGACCATTTTGTTAGGAAGTAGCTTAAGACAAACCCATTGATCCAAGCAGAAACAAATTTTAGAATCAAAATGTAGATGGATTAAGACACAAACCTCCAAATGCAATGATTTATCTTAAATTTAGAAGAAGTGCTCCCCGTGTCAAGCAATTGGATTCTCTGAAGAACAGATTTTAGAAACATAAATCAAGCTTGGCAAAGTTGCAACCTTCAAAACATGAATACTTGAAAATTCAAATTCATACTCACACATTCATCCAGGATAAAACACGTGGCAATGTTAGAGGGCATGTGGCATCAAGAGAGTTCTTGGTCATTCTTCATTTGTGGCCGTTGATGGCTGATGGCACCCATCAATCAATGTAGTGTATGTAATCTCATCTAAACATAATGCTCCACTGGACATTTCATCACATACTTTAAATGCTTCTTCTACCTTACCTGCTTTGCATAACCCATTTGTGAAGACGTTGTAAGTGACAGCATCAGGAAGAATTCCTTTTTCTGTCATCTCGTTCAGAAGCTTAGCTGCTTCTTTTGTTTTGCCCAGTTTGCAAAACCCATCTATCATGATTGTGTAGGTGAATTTATTAGGATGTATGTTATGTGAAGACATTTCTTGCAAGACATTAGTGACTTTATTCATCTGGCCTAGCTTACTATAACCACCAATGATTGTAGTGTAGCAGACAACATTTGGCAGCAAGCCCTCCTTTCTCATCTCATCAAGGAGGTGTTTTGCATCATCAACAAGGCCAATATTGCACAGTCCATGCATCAGAGAAGAATATGTGGCACAACTTAGCGGGACACCTCTGCTTTTCATGTCATCACGAAGTCTAAACGCTGCATTCATATTCCCATTGATGCAGTATGCTCTGATTAGAGAATTATAAACAACAGGATTTAGTTCCAGTTTCTTGGAAACTAACTCGTTTAATAGATTTTCACCCTCTTCAACTTTATTGGCTTTACAGTATCCATCAATCATAACACCATATGTGTAAACATTAGGAACATAACCATTTTTTTTACACTCATGCCATAGCCTACTGGCTTCATCAATCTTATCCACATTAAGGAGCCCATGTAGCAATAAATTATAAGTGTATATGTCTGGCTGAATTCCATTCTTGACCATCTCTTCCTTAAGTTTAAATCCTTCCTTGACTTTCCCCTCCTTACAGCACCCTGATATGAGCGTGTTATATGTTATCCTATCAAATACTAAACCCCTCTCAAGCATATCTCCGAGGAGCTTAAGAGTTTCTTGCATGTTTCCTGCTTTACACAGCCCATGAATAAGGGCATTTGAAGTCACTATGTTGGGTACAAAACCTTTCCGCAACAGCCTGCACCAAAGTTCTACTGCTTCTCCTTGCTTCCCAGCCCTACATAACCCACTAACCAATGTGGTAAGCAGCCCATCATTTGGCCTCAAATTTCTTAACAGCATCTCTCTAATAAAATGTAGTGCAGTAACAAACCTAAACTTCAAGCACAACCAATTAATTACCATAGAAAATGAACCTTGGTTTATTGGTAAACCTCTTGCTATCATCTCCTCTAAAACATTCTCAGCTTTTCCTATTTGATCACTCTTGCAAAAACCTTGTATAAGTGAATTCAAAGTAACTGAATTGGGAGATATCCCCTTCGATAACATGTCATCTCTTATTTTAAGTGCTTCACTAATATTTCCCATCTTACAGTACCCATCAATTAATGTGTTATAAACAACCTCATTTGGCACAAAACCCAACTCAGACATTTCCTTCAAAACACAATTTGCTTCATCAATTTTCTCCAATTTAATCAAACCATTAATGAAAACACTATATGTTATAAGGCTTGGACTCACTTTCTCTTTTACCATCTTTTCTTTAAACCTGTATGCCTCATCTAATCTCCCACTCTTACACAAGCCGTGAATGATATTATTATACGTAACAACATTTGGAGCAACACCCAACTTTTCCATTTTTGAAAACAACCCGATAGCATCATCCTCTCTGTGTCCCTTACAAAACGCATTAATCATTGTGCTGAACAAGTGAACATCCGGAATGATACCACCAAGACAGATGAAATCACACACTTCATAGCTCTTTTTTAGCTCATTAGCCTTCACTAAAGAACTCAACAGAAAAGTGCATGTCTTTAATGAGGGGAACAAACCCTTTTTCGCCAATAAACTAAAGACATCAGCAGCAAAACCAAAACCCAAATGTTTAAATTGTGTACTATAAACATGTACCAATAAATCAGCAATTTTAACCCCAATAACAGGCTCAAACACCAAATTCAAATCAGCCATTATTTGGGCAATCTCAAAATGTCTACTCTCAAAACTCCTCGCATAAAAGGCTGGAACTTTCCCATCAATCAAACGAATTAAAAGCAATCTTGCAGGAGACAAAAGATCATTACCAACAAGCAAATGAATCAAAACACAATAAGATCGAGCTGTGAAACGAAACTTACAAGTCTCGGATACAAAATGAAAGAAGTTCAAAGCTGTTTTTGGATTCGCATTTGATTTAAGAGCTAAGAAACAGCTATCAAACTCTTGAGAAGACAAATGGGGGACTAATTCTTTACATTTAGCGCGATCCAAAGATGGATTAGAAAGAATTAAAGATACCCTTTTGAGTACACTCTGATTTAAAGCTTGTGGATTTGTCTGCGCCTGCAATAATGGAGGAGGAGGAGGAGGAGCTTGTGGGTGTATTTGGTGCTGTTTTTGAAGCGTGGTTGTGATACAAGTTAAAGGACGTTTAAGCGGGGATTGAATAAAGATGGGTTTCGTGATTGTTAGCCTTCTCATATCCATTAGAGATTGCGTTCACAGAGCAAAAGAATCCAAACTGTACTCTTTGTGGGGATTGGCAAGGGTTTTAGAATGGTGCACAACAAGAGGCCATGAGGTTCCTTTTTGATGGAGGTTGAGAGGGTGTGAGGGAGAAACAGCCACGACAGTAGGTATAAAGGAGCGTATGGTGTTTAATGTTTCAGGAGAGTTCGGTTCAAGCGATGCCGCCACCCAGGGCAGCCACGGGGCTAATGATATCAGGGTTAATTGAGTTGAGATTTGAGAGGAAGACGGGAGTTGACGTCTTTTGGGCTAGGTGTTTGGGTAGCGGGCCTGTATAGAACTGGAATACTAATCGGAACAAGCTGGGCTACATAACTCTAAAATCTGAATTGGGCCATAGTTTTAGGGGATGAACATTTGGTAATTGGGGTTTCTGATGGGATGTGTTCATGCGATGAAGATATCCATCCAAGTGTAATTTCAGATATGTCCTCTCCTATCGTTTTCTTTTTCTAAGATGAATCCTTCCCTCGGACACTCTGTCGTGCAAATCTGACATTTATTTTTTAAATGGCAATGCTGAGTTATGTTTGGGATCAAATGTTGATGCTCTATCCAAATCCAAATGGGTTAAAATCTGTGTGCAAAAACTGGCCAAACAGGTTCTTACCATGGGAAGAACAAATCGGTGAACGGTCTCCGGTGTCTCGCTCCAAGTAATTTCACTTTCCGGTGTGCCAGTGTAATAACTATATAATTTAACATTTTTTGGGCTTACTTGAACAAATTGAACTGTCTCCTTTCAATCTCTCACGTTAGCATTTAGCACTAAAAGTCACTGTTTACGACAATGACAAGAAAGGGAGAGGGAGTCGAGTTTTGAAGACAATGAGGATATACTACAATTTACGACAAAATTGCTTCGTAGATATTTGTTAATCTTCCCCCAATCTTTTGTTTCTGCAAGATGACACCGACTAACTAACTGGTCATGGATTTTGTCCTCAGCTTTCTGTCACTTTCTTTCTAGTTGGCTGAAGAGCATGCAGCCTTTGTTCAAAACACTAAAACAGGCTGGCTTTTATTTATTGATATTAAACAGATTCAAGGGACACTAGCAACTTAAACCATCGTAATCCAATAATTACTCTAATTAACTAGTTAAATAAGGATTCTAGACACAAATCCTTCCTTTCCCATAAATATTTCTATCTAGACGACTAAGATTTCAACTAATTTAATTACTAGTTAATTAAATAATGATTCTAGATACAAATAGTTTCTATAAGTACTTCTACTTAGACTAGGTTTCAATTAGCAGTAAGAGATTCTTCTCTAAATAAAGTATTCTTAAATGCCAACACCACGTAATCTTCTAAGTTTTATAAATAACACTAATTTGAATGATTTGATAAACATATCAGCAACTTGTTTTTTACTTTTGCAAGGAATGTTTTCAATCGAGATCTGTTAAGAAATGAAATTTCACATCAATACCATGTATAACCGGATTTTTTAAGAGTTTAATTGTTAAGTTGTCGTTATAAGAAACTAATGTTGTTGGTCAAGAATTTTCTTCTGGGTACCATATCGCTTGACATGCACACTAAACAACGGAAACAAATTCAAAATCGATTGTTTCTTTAAATTAAGATGATGAAATAACTCCCGAACCAATCTTAAAAAATACTCATTCTTGCAAGTGTTTCTTCCTGCAAAATCACTGTAAATAAAGCCGACCAAATATGAACTCCCTTGTTGTAGAACAATCCACATTTCATAGTACTAATGAAGCCTTATTGTAGCTGTTAGAAGATGAGTTCTCCTTTAGCTATGCTTTCCGCTCTCGATCTCTTTTTTCTGATATGCCGTGGGAAGCTAGCATCAGAGGCAATGCCTAGGTTTTCTTTGGATAGCAAATCAGAAGAATTTTGCAACTTAGATTCGAATGAATTAGGTGTAACAGAGACACCATTGAGCTTTTTCCAAGATTTTTTCGTGGGGAGTAAAATATTTTGATCCGGGTTAACAAGGTTTTCTTCTGAATTCAAGGAGAGATGTATTCTAGCGAGATATTTGTTGAGCTAGATGGTAATGCGATGTCTCGGTTAAGGCCGGTACTGGTGTGGAATAAGTTTTGAAGAGTTGACTCGGTTTGGTGGAGGGGTTGTGTCTCAGTTTGCTTGGCAAGAATGTGAAGAGGACCGAGGGGAATGGCTTTTCGGAGGGCACATCTTAGGTTGAGGAGGAAGCAAGCTGGTCATGTGTATGAATGGAGGCCGAGGGGGATGAATTTATGATGGGGACTCCACTCCTAAGGGGCGCACTCGCTTGCCGTTTCACGAACATGGTAAAAACGTTTTCATGTTTTTTAATTTATTTATATTTTTTAATATAAAAAAATCATTCATAAATTGAAAAGTTTATGCATATATTTAATTAAATAAATAATATATCTAATTAAATAAATAAAAAATTAACCGTGTAATAAAAAAAATTAAAGCTTAATTCTCAATAAATTAAAATTAATTATGTAATAAAAAAATTTAAAGCTTAATTCTCAATAAATTAAAATTAATCGGTCAAATTTATTATTCAAATTATAAACTTAACTAGGTTCAATAATTTTATATTTAATAATATAATAAAAAAATAAACATTTATAAAATTAAGAACCAATTAAATATCAAAGCATCGTGATAAAACTATAAATATCAAATCAAAATAAATTACATTAACCAATTAAGAATAAATAAAATATCAAAAGGTGAAATTAAAAAAAATAAACAAAAAAAATCAATAAATATCCAAAAGTGAAGAATCAAATTAAAAAAAAAACAATAAAAATTAAAAAAAGAAGCCTACACATGCATTTGGAGAAACCTATGAGTTTGGGCCTATTTAATTTTTTTATTGGGTGGACTACGTGACATTCGCCTTATTTTTCTTGAAACAATATGGTAGAAGGTCATTGAAAAATCAAGATTAGAGGTTTTTAACTTCAAAAAATCATTTTCAACCTTTTTTTAATAAAAAAACACCTATAAAACAACTTAGAGACTAACAAAAACCCTTTTATGTCTTCAAACAATAAAAAAATTAGTTCAAGAACATAAGGTGAACTTGAAATCCAAATTTTTTCCAAGATAAAATCTACCTTAAGATATTTTAAGGTGAAAAAAATACTCAAATTAAATTCTCATCATCGAAAAGAAGCATTTGATACCAACATCAACTCTTTTATAATCATAATTGGTGTTAATTAAGAGTTTTTCTCTCTACCATCAAAATACAACTACTTTCTCTTTTTTCTTTCAAATCAAAGCCAAAAAAGAAGGAAATTAAAGTTTTGGTTGAATTAGTGAAATGTTGAGGGACATAAAGTTTATAATTTGAAAAATAGAAGATCGAAAGTGAATTTTTTTATCTAATTTTGAAATTATTATCTATTTTCTATGTTATGTTTATAATTTGAAAAGTAGAAGACTCAAAGTGAAATTTTTATCTGATTTTGAAATTATCATCCATTTTCTATATTATGTTTTTTTTTATTATGATCATCTTTCTTTCAATTTTGTCATTCCTTAATAAATTTGAATCAATTAGCTTTCAATTAGGCCATAAAATTTGTTATATTTTAAAATGAATGCAAAATTTATCGTATTGAATAAAATCTTTTTTCAACATTAAGATAGTGATATATTGAAATTTGTTTTTTAAATATTAAAATAATAATATATTAGATTAACTTGAATCAACTCAGGTTAATCATCCAAACTTGAAACCAAGATGAATAAATTATATTTCATTTAATTATATAGTAATAAGGTGGGTATGACTCTTTTTCTATATAAAAAAAAATATAATATACATGTGGGATTGAAAAATAAAATGGCCTTTTTTTAAGTTAAATAAAAAATAAAAAATTAATTCAAATAAAAAAAGACCATTAAATAACAAAGAATGATTTCTTTTTTTAGCTTTAAGGGGATGAAAATTAATTAATTAAAAAAATATTTTTTTTAAGAAAATTAACAATAAGGCCAAGCACATAACCTATCTACACTCATGACCCATAAAAAAAATAAAGAATAAAATATTTTTTAATGCTAATTTTGAAACAATCAAATATTTTTGGTATCATTTTCACTCTAAACTTCTAACTTTTATTTTAATCCTTAACTAACAAATAAAAAATGATTGATAATCAATTTGGGTTTAAAAAAAACTCAATGGAAGAAAAAAAAATTAGGGAACTAAAATAAAAAAAAAATTCATAGTTGTAATTCATAGCAAAATATGAGAGGATTCTCAATGTTTTTTACAAGAGTAAAAATGCCCCAGACCTTTGTTTTTATTGTAATAATTAAATTATGCCCTCCAATCTACAAAAAGGAAAAAGATTATTATGCCTTTTAAAATGTAAATTAGGTAAAAACAATAGTTCATTAGCTCACGCTTTGTCGTGAGTTAAACCATTTTTTTTTAAGATGTAAAAAAGAACGTCAAGAGCAAGGGAAATTCTTTGGTAGTTTCATGAAACCCAACCAAATGGGCTAGTCTTGAAACCTATCAATCTAACTCTTTATCTAATTAAAATTTTTAATTAAATCGTGTGGAAGCTAACTCGATATGAATCGATCAATTTTACAGGTTCAAAGATAACTTGAATGATAATAAAAAGATGACTTAACTTTTATTTTTTTTTAAGAAGACAACTTTTTTAAAATATATTAAGACGACATCAAACTAGATTTACCTTGGTCAACTTATGATTTAAATCATGGATTCTATTGGGTTTAATAACTATTTTTTTTATAAATTATTTTTAATTAATTACATGATAACAAAAAATAGATACTCGCAAAATCGAGCACCAACTCTAAAATAGATATTTATTTGAAACTGTGATAATCCTATAAAAAAAATAAAAAATAAACCATGAGGTCTATTTCCCAACCAATTCAATATTAATTGATAAAATAAAAAAATTAATTAAAAAATTTTAAGGACTAAAAACTAAAAAAAAAATATTGGGTTTGATAGGTAAACCCGACAAGCTAGTGGATTATATAACTTGGGTCAATATGTCAAACCTAGAAACCGTGTAATAGACTTCACTAAGATTAATAACATATTTTTTAAATACTATTTTTATTTAATTTTATGATAACAAAAATAAACAATTACAAAATCCAATACTAACCTAATACTAGGATTTGTTTTTTAAAATCACAATAACCTTATAGAAAATGAATTGAAAGCATCATAAAACTCAATTCTTAATCAACTCAATATTAAAGAATAATTTTTTTTAACAAAATCAAAGTTAAACCCACCAAATTTGCAAACCAGGTCATGAACTCCACTAAGATTAATAACTTATTTTTAACTATTTTTTATGTATATGATAACAAAAATAAACAATCACAACATCAAGTATCAACCTT